CCTGCAGCCCTCTAATGCTGTATCAGAATTCAATTAATGCATTTTAGAGCACAATAGTAGAGCTTAATTTCTAGAGCACTGTGTCAAAGGAGTCAATATGGATAAGCACAGTGACTGGGGATGAACATGCTTTTCAAAATGCAAACCATAGGCTACTGAGTTAGTAGGGCGGGGAATATTTACTAATTAAATTGCTCAAATTTGATTATTCAACCTGTGAGGGACAGATTGTAAAAGTATGTCCAAGTTACTGTATAAACCAGTCATGCACCACAGTCTATAACATCCATCCTAAAGCACTTTTTATGCATTATGGACACTGGGATAAAGAAACATCGCGTGAAAGTTCCATAACTTTGAAATAATTTTTACCCAAACAAAATATTTATAACTTAAATACAGAAGAATTACACTCATAAAAGTATTTAAGTCATGAACACTGGGGATCATATTTTTAAACGCTTAAAGCAACATTATCTAATCTTTCTAGAAATGTTAAGATGTTTTTAAAAATGCATTTCATTGCGGATTACTGTCTCTTATCTGTTTTAGGACTGGGGAAGGTCGCTTCAATTCATGCTGCAAGTAAACAAAATGAATTTGGATTGATCGGATTATATCTAATCCCATATCAGGCATGTGCAGAAGTGACTTTGTACAGCGAGGCATTAATTACTCCATACATGTCACTATATCCAAATGAGCTGTTTATAAATGATTGTTTATATTTTATGGACAGAATAATTGAAGCCAAACTGAAATTCTACTGAGACGAAACTAGAGATATATGAACTAATGAAAACAAAACTAGGCCTATATGTAGTTTTAGTCTCAAAATAAATCATTAAATTATATGATATTAATTATATTATTATATTATATTATATTTATTATATTATATTACTAATTTCGTTGGTCTACTCACCTCCGAATGCTTTTCCACCAGTCAAAGAGAGCAGCACAAACACGCGCCACAAAAACTTTTGTTCAAAGGAAATGTGAATCCACATGTTTCATAGCATTTCAGATCAATTCAAATGTAATGCCTTATTGAGTTAATATTCCCCAAAGTACGACCATTGTGCGACCTTAAATCATTGCTAACTTTAAATCGCTGTACCTGCATCTAAACCCATCATCTAAACAACGTCACGGGCGTGAGACAGGTTTCCCCGCCCCTTCATGCATATTCATAGCGCTCACGCCATATATTACGGAGAAAACACCACAGTCTCAGAAATCGCCCAGCCTCTTCATTCATATTATTCAGTATGCTTATACTTCATACAGTAACAGTAATGAAAGGTGGTGAAATCTTAAAGCTGCAGACTAATATTTTTTAATTATATTTTATACGTAGTCTATTTGATGTTTTACTTGTTATTTTTCATGTTTTATAAATATAGCATACATTTAAAAGTACCAGCATTTATAATCATAATAAATATAAAATAATTATGAATGTTATTATATAAATAATTATATAGGCTATATAATATTAGTCAAAATATAATATATTCAACATCTGCGTTTACTGGTGTGAAGATGTTGAATTGATAAAGTGGTCCTTGTAAAAATAAATGGCCTGTTTTGATTTCTGCAGACAAGATGACCAAGTGCTTGGTCATCCTCTTTGCAGAAATCAAAACAGTTCATTTATTTTTTACAAGGACCACTAGGGGGCGCAATCACACTACATAAACTATGAAAACATCCCTTAAACCTTAACACTGTGTTTTTTCATAATGAGTGTTAAAACTAATTACATCGCTTCATTTGTCTTTGTAGAAATAATAATTAAGTATGAAGTTTCTTAATCCCCTTGAAATTACACCTTTACACACAGATCACAACAAAGTTTACAGGTTAGAATCTCTCCCTCACAGGATTATATATATTATATATTTTATTCTCAGGCCAGCGTGAGTAATTAAATAACTTCTTTATTAAAGGTAAATGTACTTGCCCAAAAATAAGTAATTGACATAATGTTAATTTTGTATTTTCATTTTCTTTTTAATCATATAAAACATACAAGAAGTTACTGTATTAAACACAAAATGTTATCACAACATTTCTGTGACAAAAATGTTTTTTAAAAAGTGTTTGTACGATGTAGCTGTACAAGCTGGGATGGTATTCGTTCAAGTACTTCAGAGTAATTCCACAATATATAAATATTGTATCACTCAGTACCTTGGTATATCAAAGTACCATGGTATTACCTGATACCATCACAGTTTTGCTTTGGTAAGGGAACTCAAGCAGGGATTGCAGACTGTCTATCTGACAGCTACAGTTCACTATGGTGCCTGCAGAGGCAATAAACCCAAAATTAACCCAGTCATAGATATGCCAAGAATAGCAAATGTTAGGTAACACACACACACACAAAAAAAAATTATCTGGGGCAAAATTCTCCAATTCTGACTCACATCCAACTGTTGCCAATAATGTCTCCCTACTGTATGGTTAAACTCTGTATCCCACTGTCTTTTAATATGAGGGGGTTCCATCTGCCTTGTTCTTTAACATGATAAAACATAAAAGCTCTGTTTTTTCAGCTGCACTACTGAATCATCTTAACACTCTTATAAATAGCGTTTAGGGAAAACATGTTTGTTTTTGCCAAAGCTTTAAAACCCTGTTGTTTCTGAGTGCCAGTGAAGTGGCTGGGATCCAAATGAAGGGGAAGAGAACATAGCTAGGTCAGCACTGGGGCAGTTTGAAGAAACTGTTGACTGATTCACTTAATTCTGAATGTCCGTAATTGTTCCAAACGAACACAAGCCAGGCCTGTATCCTGTGATATAGAGCAGCATGTTCTGGACCATGTGTTTACTGCCATTAATTTGGCTGTGGTGGGTGGAGATCAACCGCTACATCAGGAAAGGCTTATGGATCATTTTGGCAAATGTAAATATGTCTTCAATGAAACATGTTCTTAAAGGAATAGTTCACCCAAAATTGAAAATTAGCTGACAATTTACTGATTTGTTGACAATTTACCCTTCGGGCCATCCAAGATGTAGATGAGTTTGTTTCTTCATCAGAACAGATTTGGGGAAATGTAGCATTACATCACTTGCTCACCAGTGGATCCTCTGCAGTGAATGGGTGCCGTCAGAATGAGAGTCCAAGCACCTTATAAACACATCACTATAAAACACACCACTCCAGTCCATCAAGTAACATCTTGTGAAGTGAAAAGCTGCATGTTTGTAATAAAACAAATTCACCATTAAGACATTTTTAACTTTAAACTCTTCCAGCTCAAATGCAGTCTATAATACAATATTGCTCCCTCCAGTGAGAAAGTTGTCTCATCTGAATCAGGAAAGAAATATGTACTGTTTATAAGCGAAAATGGTCCAAAACATTTCTAAACAAATATGTTGGTGGATTTTTATCTGAGAGGACAACAGGGGATTTTCAGTGGAGGAAGCGTCATTATGAATTATGGACTCATATTTTGGCCATAAGTGACAGTTTAAGTTAAAATATCTTAATGATGGATTTGTTTCTTACAAAAATGCAGCTTTTCACTTCATTAGACATCAACTGATGGACAGGGTTCATGTGGATTACTTGTGGATTATTGTGATGTTTTTATCAGCTGTTTAGACGCTCATTCTGACGGCGCTCATTCTGACGGCACCCATTCACTGCAGAGGATCCACTGGTGAGCAAGTGATGTAATGCTACATTTATCCAAATCTGTTCTGATGAAGAAACAAACTCACCAACATCTTGGGTGGCCTGAGGCTGAGTACATTTTAAGCAAATTTTCATTTTTGGGTGAACTGTTCCTTTTAATACACAAGTTTTACATTTAACAAACTATATGATCAGTTAATGTAATGGGACCTGAATATTCAAACTAAGAAACGCTAAGAAAAGTTTTAAGAGCAAATATGGTTGTTTCAAACACATTACTGACCCTGAAATGGTTGCATAACGAAAAGGAAGGGTACATTTTTCCCCCCCAAAAAGGCCTACTTTTTCGGAGATTACCAAATATGCAATGTCCCTGAGACTGCTCCAAAACCCACAAGTTTTGATTTGACAGATCAGTGTCAGCCTCCAAACACTCTTAATTATTTCAATATGCAGTGGATGGAAAAAGCCTGCTCTGGACCGAGTAACTGGGCTACATGCATACTTTATTTGTGGATCATGGTGTAGGCTGACACCAGATTGCATAACAATCCACTTTTTTGGAGCTCTGACTGCCATGAGACAGGCCGTATCCAGAGTGTACGTAGACAGTAGGCCTCTGGAATAAGTCTGGGATTGTGCAATAGCAAAACAATTGAAACCAGACAGCAAATGCTCCTGCTAATTCTGATATGTTCTCTTTGATGCACATTTAAAGAGGAATTTAAACCATTTATAAACACAGAGTTATCGATTAGCATTTGGTTGGCCTAAAGCTGTGGTGTCCTTACAATTAAACGTTAAATTCCTTGATATTACCACAAATTGCATATACCTAGCAATATGCCAAATTATTAACGTGATATAGCCTACTTTTATATTAGAAATATAATTTTAGGGCCACTAAGATTTGTTTTTTTGTTTTGTTTTTTACTTTTCTTGACTTTTATTCAGCAAGAATGTGTTAAATTGATTAAAAGTGACAGTAAAGACTTGAAAAACCTATTTTAATAAATGAACTTTCTATTCATCAAAGAATTCAGAAAGAATGTATCATGGTTTTCACAAAAATATGAAGCAGCACAACTGTACTAACTACTAGCAACAGACTAACAACCACTCAGAACTCCCTAGCACAGGGGTCTCCAAACTCGGTCCTGGAGGGCCAGTGTCCTGCACAGTTTAGCTCCAACTTGCCTCAACACACCTGCCTGGAAGTTTCTAGTATGCCTTGGTTCAGGTGTGTTTTGGAGCTAAACTCCACAGGACAGTGGCCCTCCAGGAACAGGTTCGGACACCCTTGCCCTAGCAACACCTTAGTGACCCAAAAGACTCTACTACCTAGCAACAGACTAACAACCACCCATAACTCCCTAGCAATGAACCAGAACACCCTGTCAATAAATGGCAACCATTCAGAACTTTCTAGCAATGCCCTTGAAATACCCTAACACCCATAACTCAAAGCAACCTCTTAGTGACGACCCAAAATACATTACCAACTGCCAACAGCCTAACCACTCGAAACACATATCATGGTTTTCACAAAAATATGAAGCAGCACAACTGTTTTCAACATTGATAATAAAAAAAATGTATTGAGCAGCATCAGGATCATGTGACACTGAAGATTAATGATGCTGAAAATTCAGCTTTGCATAACAGGAATGAATTACATTATATATTCAAATATATTCAAATAGAAAACAATTATTTAAAATTCTAATATTATTTCACAATATTACTGTTTTTATTGTATTTTTTTGATCAAATGCAGCCTTGGCCAGCATTAATATCTTACCGACCCCAGACTTTGGAACAGTAGTGTTTATATATTTGGTAAATAAAATGAACATTACAATTTAGGTATTTGACATAAGTGTTCAGAATGCTGGGTTTATATGCTTAGAAAAATGGCCTCATAATGCCCTTGAAATGTATTTAATGCATAACCTGTTGTCTGCAACCCTATCAGAACAGAGCTGCGATCCATTTTTGAGAACCACTGCCCTAAAGCATTCAGCAATGGCATGTGTATAAACACAAACAAACATGTACACACAATCTGACTGATATTTAG